GTTGGGGTTGATGATTATTGAAAAAGAAACCTTCCAGTTTAGATAAAATGGGACATGCTTTCTCATTCCTGGGAGAAAAATGCTTTCACCTTGACAGTGACCAGGCGGACTTAATTTCTCGGGCATTTGCGCATCGCCTGGTCTGGGGTGGGGGGGTATCTACCAGCGCCCCCTGTGTGAGGCGGATGTAAGAGGCTGGCCCTGGAGTCAGATGACCCGAGTTTGAATCCTGGCTTTCTGAGTTGCTTGCCGGAGGATAAGTCTTTCACCTCCCTGGGCCTTTGCTTCCTCATTTATGAAAGAGAAATAGCAATAGTACTTGTCTGGCAGGGTTGGAGGAAGACGGGGCACAGGAGAGAGAAGAGCAGGCCCTGGTGGCCGGGAGCTGGCCTCGCACGCTCAGCTCGGCCGTGGTGTTCTCCTGGTTCACGTGAACAGGCTCCGAAAACACCACCGTCAGATAAAGATGGCTTAAGACAAAAGCAAGAACCCTTTATAATCATGTCCAAATGCACATGAAACCAAGATTGCCCAAACCACAAGTAAGGCCCCCGTCAGCTAGTAGGAGGGGCTGCCTCATTTCATTCCTCCCCTCTCCTTGGTAAGAATTACTGAGACACCGAATTGTAGAACGACCCTCCCTTCCTGACAGTGTCCCATTCAGAGCAAAATCCTGCTTTCTTGACCCCTCCCCCAAGTCAGCTAACAAGCCAAATCCTAAGGCTAGTCCTTTGAACACCCTCTTATTTGGATGCCTGGCTCCCCGTGGTGTGCATTTTCTCTTGTAGCAGCGAGTTAGTAAATGCAGTGTTCCTGAACGGCACGCGTGTTCCCGGTGGTCTGTGTTAGGACAGCATGCTTTCACACGGTCACCCTCTGGGACTCTTATCCTACTTCGTTCATAGCCCCGGTCACCCCCTGATACATCCCCTATTTATTCTTCTGTTTTCTTTCTCCTCTTACTGGAAAGCTCATTCTATGCCAGCGGGAGCTTTGTTTTATTCAGACTTTACCCCCAAACCCAGAACAGTTCTGTCCCATGGTGGACCTTCTTTGAATCTTAGATGAATGAGTGAACTCAGACCATAGCACGCTGCCCGCACAACAGCGAGCATTCCATCAGCGGTGGCGACTGTCGTGCTTTAGAAATGACTCGGATGTTAAGGTGGATGTCAGGAGCAGGCATCCAAAGCCACATTGCTGCAGATAGAGCAGTTGGGAATGGGGAACACGATTTCGATGAGCCACGTTATTTTTTCTTTCTGGCAGCACGTGAGCTTGCTTTCTTTCATTTCGTGGCCGCAGACCCAGCCTGGGAACATGCTGCCACGGGGCATTCATCTGTCTGTAAACTGCTCCCACACGCAACAGAAATACCGAGTGAATCCAGCCAATTAGCTGGCGAAATGAGGTCTGTGTTGACCACCCAGTCAAGCAACCTTGGTTTTGCCTGAATTTAAGAGAACTGAAGAAGCAATTTGGTCGCCTGAGAGATCTGCATTACTATCTGATGGCTCCCTTTGAAGAAATTTCCCTTCTGCGTTAGGGAAGTGTTCTCCGCCTCTCTTCACTTGCTTCCTGATTGCTTCTTCTGTCTTCTGGGTCTGAGCCCCGGTGTTCTCCATGTGTGGTGTGCCGTGCGCTGTTTATAATGGACGCTTTGGAATGAGCCTCTGATGTTTTACTGAATTGTCTAAGCAGAAGAGATTCTGCTTAGAGGCCCGGGTGGGTCCTCCCTGAGCTGAGCATTTTGGGCATATGCCTACTAAAGCATTCTAACGCTGATACAAGTCCTCGAATATGTGGACTGACATAATTTATCCTATAGGATTGTTTTCTTTTGGGGTCAGTCATCTAAGCTCGCGTCTTCTCAACAAGGTCCCAGAACCATGTGTTGAACCAGCTCATCTCTTGAGCCACAGAGGCTCTTAACTTGTGTCAAGGGACTTACTTGTCGGCAGTTTTTACTTATTTTATTTTTTGTTTGTTTATTTTTGAGAGTGAGTGAGTGGGGGAGGGGCAGAGAGAGAGGGAGAGGCAGAGGATCCCGAGCAGACTCCGCACCGTCAGCGCAGAGCCAGATGCGGGGGCTCGAAGTCACGAACTGCGAGATCGTGACCTGAGCCGAAACCGAGAGTGAGACGCTCAACCCACTGAGTCACCCAGGTGCCCCTACTGGTTGGCAGTTTTTAAAATGGAGAAAGCACTGGTTTAGATTTCAGGGAGAAGTTTTTCCTTGAGGAATTAGAAGTGCAAGGAATGTTTCGCATGGACAGGCTAACTGCCTCTGAGAAGTCGTTTGGCAACCCTTCATGGATTTACATGTCAGTACAGGTGTGTTTTTAGTG